ACCATCGCTTGATAGTCTAGCGGTATCATCGCCTGCCTAAGCGGTACCACCGCCCAATCGAACTCTAGGTTATTGAATTGGCCTTTCAATAGGTCCAATTCAACCTTGATTCAAGCCTAATAGACTCCTAATCAAGTTGGCATGGTTACGTCCCAAAATTAACTCAATTATACTCTAAATGACTTCAATCAAGACTCAACAACTCTACTTACAATCATGAAGCCTTCAGCACGTTGTCCAGCATGCCATCTGTTTATTCGACATTTTGTCTGAACCTTTGGCACATCGTCATTTCCTTCGGTATATTGTCCGATCTATCGGCATGTTGATCTCCCACAACATCCAATCTTCTTGGCAGAATACCCGATCCTTCTGGTCTGATGCCCGAACTCGTGGCACAAAGTCCATCCTTTGGCACATTGACTAATCCTCTAGCCTGACGTCCAATCTCTAGCATGATGCTCTCTGGCCTAACGTATGATTCTCTTGCTTTAATTATTTGTCTTTCAATGGTTCATGTCCATGATCAAAGTTTCTCCTATGTCGTTTATCTTAAATGCTTATTAGACCATAAACTCATCAATTGATTTCATCATCAAAATCCAAAATTCAATAGTCTGATAGTGTCTTCTCCTCCTCTTGCCTGAGTTCGAGAAGTATTGATATCGATGGTCTCAGGTGCACATTCATAAGGAAGTAAAGTTCAAACTCCCTCGTGAGCTAGGTAAAAGAATTGATGGAAAGAAACTTTAAGCAGGTATAATATTCTCATGTTAGGCCTCTTAATGTGGCCACGAAGGTGCGGCACATCAGAGCATCCAAAGTATCATACAACAACATTTAAGCACGAAAAGCTATAATGTGCTCCATCAGGTCGACACTACCATCGATTGCCTCTAATTATAAGAGGCAAAAGTTTATTAGAATTTATTCTTCCTGGATTTTCTAAGTGAAAAGCAACAGACCCAAGGTGGGGTTAACCAACACTTCCCCTTTAGATTGTTGGAACTCTCATCATATCTTCTCTAAGCATCGGTCTATCTACCATAGTTGGATTCATAGAGAATCCTCTATCGAATTTGTTGATTGGGTCTTGGCTTCAGGCAGGGTAGAATAGTAGTGCGGTCTGCTAAATTCCATAATTAGGAGCCAAGCAATTCGATGGGTCTCGGGGGCTCCTAGGATGTTGACATCATGTTGGGTGGAGGAACCTTAATGGGTGCCAACGTCGATGGCGGTTGAGCCGGTGATTGCAGTTGAGCTAGTGGTGTTATTTGTTGGGCTAATTGGGATAAAAGTAGAGCAACAACCTATATTATGCTTGTTAGCATTTGCACTTGCTGAATGGGGTTCAAGAACACCTCGGCATGGACGAGAAGGTAGCTCAGGGTCATCCCGAGGAGTCAAAGGCCTGAGTTGTTGAATATACACTAGTACCACATCGGTGTTTGCATCAAAGTGGATATGTCCATACGTAGAAAGTATGACTGCTGTCTCTCTTGAGTGAAAGTGCTATGGGTCAGGGGTAAAGCCTCCTCACTCAAGAATTCATTGAGAGGGTCGGCGGGCAAGCATTCTTGTGACATCAAGCCCTCCTCCTTCTAGCGCCAAGAATATTGATGAGAAATATTGTTGATGTCCTAGTCAGCCCAACGTGGTCTGGACCTATATACATAGGGTTGTTTGAGGTGACTCCAAGGGAAAAACATTGGGCTCCCAAGTCGCCACCTGCATGAAGATCAACCTGATCCCTTCGACGCCTAACTTGATCCCTCTAACGCTCAATTTAGTAATCCGAGGGTTATGAGTACAAAAGTAAATAGTTAAAAAAAAAAGATAAGCCCCCTCTTTCCATTCTATCAAAAATAAACTATTATATCTAATCGTAAAGAGATAGAATATTCCATGAAATAATCTACAAGAAGACATCCTCTAGCTATCTCCCATTAGCCTCTTGTCGTGATAAGGAGGGGAGGCGGTGGGGCAAAACCCATAACTATTTACCTTGGACCCTTACCCATATGGACAAACAAGTACATGGTGACCTTGTCTTCTCCTTTCACCTTGGACACCATTTGGTGGTTGTGTGTTAGACAACAATTGGTTAACGACATGCAGTGTGAAAGTGCATGTATATATTATGATATGTAGTGTGCAAGTGCATATATATGTTATGATATGGGACATAGAGATTCATAAATTTGTTATATTTTTTACATGTGCATATAAGCATTTTAAATTATTTTGATATAGAATTTTATTTTTTTTATTTTGCATATATTATATTATAGGGTTATGTTTGCTAAAGAAGTTATAGGATAAGATGTTTACTATTAAATATTTTTTATCGATGATTTTAAAATATGATGCATACTCACCTAAATAAAATATAGGATTAGGTGTTTATTCTGCATGTGCTCACTTAAATATTATAGGCTTATACTTACCGTATGATTACTCATTATAGATCCTATTTTATTAGTAAATATATTAGTATTACACCCAAATGATAAAGTCGAGAAATAAGCACCTGCGAACCATGCTAATGCAAATATAAACGATGATACGTAGACATTTGTATATGTATAACCTTTAGACTTGTACAGATTTTTTTTTTTTTTTGTTATATGTTATAATTATATATAAGTGTCGAAATCATTATCTATAAAAGTAATCATATCATTTTGCTTAGTGAATTAGTATATTTTACTTTTAATTAGTATATCATTTTGATTGTCTATTTTTTCACCATGCTTTTATTGATAACAATAAAAAATTAAAAAGTGATATTTTACTTTAGTTAGTTATGTACGTACTATATAAGTAGGATTAGAGTTCAGTGTTACAATAATACGACCGATTTGATTGTAAAACAGTTGTTAACTTTAAAAGAATTATGTTATATATAAATTCATCATGTATCTAGTTTTTAGACAAATGATATGTTATAATGTTTAGTAATAAATTATTCGGGATTGTTAGAAGGTGTATAATAAATTTATGCTTGAATTTAGATTAACTTGTGGAATTATAATTTGATTTTAAATTATGAAGAATTTAAATTTTCAAATGTATCTATAGTATAAATTTCAATAATACCAATTCAAACTTTCATCACTCTATTATAACATGATTTTAATATTATTAGTAATATTTTTTATTTTTAAATAATTTTAGGATAATTAATTATTAAAACATAAAATTTATGTGAACAAGAATATTTTTATTCATTTTGGAGTGTAATAGAGCCAATTTCAACTAAATTATCTCAAACTTTTACAAATCTATTAGACATGGTTCGAGCATCATTAATAATATTTTTTAAAAAATTTAGATGATTTTATGATAATTAATTATTAAAATTTAGATTTTTTATATATTTTGTAAACGAATATATTTTAATTCATCTTCAAGTTTAATAGTATCAACTTTAACAAAATCATCTCAAGCTTTAAGACTTCTTCTAAAATATAATTATAATGAAGATTTTACTAATTCTTTCTATTTCGATGGATTTAGGATCGATTTTATAGAAATTAATATATTTTTTAATAGTTTAGTTGTTTTGGAGAACTTTTTTTAGGTAAATTGCGAGGAGGATAAGAAGTAAATGAGCAGAAAATAAAGAAGAAAGAGTAGAAAAAGACAAATGATGAGGAGATGGAGAGGGTTTTGATTTGGACTACTAATTTATTGACCAAATTGACTCAAATATCTTAGGAGAGTAAATATGTCATTCATGTCATTGGGTAAAAACAATCACGAGGGGACTCCATCCGCTAAAAAATAATTATGAGGAGATTTTATTTAATAAATTATCAATAATAATTAGAATATGATATTATCAACACACCATAGAGTATTCAATAAGGCTTTACTGAAGTGTTATGGAAGACCGAGTTTACGTGTACAAGATTAAATATATCAAAATTCACACGTTAATAAGTCGATTAACTCATCATACTAATCAAACCATGGCAGTTGATGTCAAAATACACATAATATTCCCCCCCCCCCCCTTTTGTTTTCTTATATGCATAATAATGTTATTGAAACCTCAAAATTTTGCCTATTATCATTCTAGTTATCTTCACTGTCATTTTAGCTATGAGCACTAATCATCAAAAGATTATTACATTGCCTAATCATTTCCTTTAATTGTTCAAAGAACACTCCTACCATCAAACCAAGGGCCATTTTAGAAATTTAATCTTATTCAATCATAATTATATTATATTTATTGTATATATATGTATATATACATATATATATATGCATGCAATGCAATGGATAAGTTCGATTGAGCTTGATTCCGATGGCCAAAGTAGCACTGGATGGTGAAATATTTACAACGCAGATGATGTCCCATGACAGACTGAGACGATGATAGTATATTCAAACCACCGGACATCATCTGACCCATCTCACCATCATGTCTCTTCTTGGAAGGCGAGGATCCTCTCCAAGTCCTATTTCAGATGGGACCGTCCAATCTCCATCGTCCGCTAATACGGGATCTCATCTTCTACCGGTGGGACCCAGATGGTCATTTTGAATGCGTCCCGACACAGAGACATCCGCCAAAGCTAACTGCTGCATCCGTACATTGGCCCCACGGCTGCGGCCAATCCCAATGCAGGTGAGGTCGGTTTCTCGAACGCTCGAAACAGCGGGAACAAACTGGAAAGTAGACCACGTGGGCCCGACACGACACGAGACGGTTAAGATGGAAACCGGTTTGGTTGGCGTGAGCGGATGGATCCGCGGGTGTGAGATGGGTGAGGTGAGGGGACGGTCTGCCTCGTGATTGGGGATAGAAAGGCCGGGCGTGATGAAACGTCCACGTGGCCCACGAAGCGTAGCCTTAACGAGACGCCGAGCTGCGACGACGCCCGGGTGGGTGGCACGGTGTGGTGTCCCCGCGGAGCAAAACCAACGCTAAAACCATGTCTCTTCGGCACCAGGATAAACCATGGCGAAACATCAAGTTAAATGGACCGCCCCCTCGCTGCGCTGAAAGCACACACTCGCCTCGCCCTCTCCCCGCTTCGACAACGGAGAGGCGAAGCTACTGTTTGCGTCACACTCCTCCTGCCCCTCTTCCTCGGCTTTCCCCTTTCCTCTCCGCTCGCCTCCCAGATCCGGGTTAGCTCGCCGTCCTCAACCCCAAATCCGGCGGTCATTCCGCGGGCATAGACGGAGGAGTTAGGTCTTCGCTGCCACCGCCTCCCTCTCTTTTTGTTGGGTCTTCTTGTCGCTGCTGCTCCGTCTCGACCGTTCTCGTTCCCCCTCATTCTGCTCATTTTCCGGGCTTAGTGCGGCGATCTGCTCCTTTTCCTTCTTCATTTTGAGGGGTGGAGCTTGAATCGTGGGGCGATTCGAGTTGCTTGGAGAAAGTTGGGGTCTCTACGCTTAAGTCTGGGGAAATAAACATGAATCGGGGCTTTAGGGACGCGGCGGCGCCTAGGCGGGTAGTGACGAAAGAGGCGGACGAGGAGCTGGCACTCTTTCTCGAGATGCGGAAGCTGGAGAAGCAGCGGAACAATCTCCTCCTGCACAACGCCGGTGAACTCGATCCGCCATTCGGTAATGTCAGCTTTAGGCGTTCCTATTTTGAAAGAAAGACTCTTTTTTAACTTCCGTTCTCCATTGTTAGCCGCCGATACCCGGCAGCGATTACTTGTTATCAATGCGTTTACTTGGCCCCCCTTGTTCTTTCTGTATTGTAGGGTCTAAACCTGGGACCGCTCCCATATTCAAGGTCACCTCATCAGCACCGTCTCGGAAGACTGGAATCGACGACTTCCTAAATTCAGACAGCGATAAGAATGACTATGATTGGTACGCTCGCCATGTTCTTTTTTATATTTATCCCTTTTGCTTGTATCTACTGTATTGCTGTGTGATTGAAGTCATTGTCCTCTTGCTTCGGTGTCCAAGGGCGAAACTTGTTTTCTTTTTAGATAATGCCATCGCTGTAAACTTTGGGGTGTTAGGCTCACTCTGTGGCTAGTAAAGGAGACAAAAGTATTTTGCCTTACAGTTTTAATAACCATTTTATGTCTACACATTCATTATGGTTTAAGGGAATGATATGGTAAGCTCCATCGTGCCATATATAGAGAGAAGTTGAAGGAGACGAAGGTCTTTTGTCTAACAGTTTTGGATAACCATTTTATGTCTACACATTCATTATGGGTTAAAGGGAATGATTTGGTAACTCCATTGTGCCATATATAGAGAGCAATTAAACTAGATAGAGGTCTTTTGTCTAACAGTTTTGGATAACCATTTTATGTGTAGACATTCATTATGGGTTTAAAGGAATGATAAGGTAAGCTCCATTGTGCCATATATAGAGAGCAGTTGCTGCTGTTGGACATTGTCAATACATGGTATTTGGTTGGTTTAAAATGAAAGACTGTTCTTTAAGAGTTACAAATCTTGGAATCTAAAGATGTAAATGACTTTGTTTGCTTGGAATCTCAAATGCCTTCTATCATACTCCTACAATTTTCATTCTTTTCAATTTTTTATGCTTCTTTCACAATTCTTATTTCCCTCGCTAGGTAACTATTTAGTAACAATTTCAAAGCCCCAGACCCTATCATACCATAATATTTCTTAATATATTATTAACAATAGTTGACTACATTGTTAAATTGCTATTCGATGGCAATTACAAAGCCCCAAACTGTATCATACTATACAATGCCATATTTCTTAATATATTGTTCGCAATGGCTGACCACATTGTTAAACATAACTAATTTTGTGTCCTATTTATTTGATTTGATTTTTTTTTTTTGCTTCCTGTCTCTTTTATATTATTTACGTAGTTCCATGGATAACAATTATATAATTGATCCATATTAACTCTTGCAAGTTGTGATATTTTATCCTAGATCTCAAACGTCCATTGACACCATGCTACAAGAGGGAATGGAGGACTTACCTAAAAGGATGTTGTGTCAAATCTTCAACTATTGACAGCTCATCTAAAAGCTTAAACTGATAGATGATATAGAGTTATTTCATTTGTATGCTCACACCTGCTCACATATGAGAAAGCAATATGGCCTGAGTGTCGATTGACTACCACTAATCCATCTTAAGTCTATGATTGAGGACCTCCTGCTCCAATATAAAATTTCCAATTCACCTAAAAACTTAAGCTAATAGATGAAACAAAATTCATCGTTTAAATTTTGACATGGTGAATCTCTGAATACTGAGGACAGGATCTTAGAGAATAGAGATGACCTCGGTGTCAGGCCTGCAGATCAGAGTGTGACTGCATTGCCCTAATTTACAGTCGACTCATTATTTCATGCTTCTGATATAACTATACACTTAATTTACTGGTTTATTTTGATGAATGGGATGATGGGTAATATGTCATTCGACAGAATTACTCAAGGTTGATGATGAAGAAGGTTATCAAAATATCATTTATTGTGATATGTAGATATCAGCCCTCCCATATAGAAAATACAGAAACCTATATCAGTTTCATATATATATATATATATATATACTGCCTGATTATTACTTGTTTACCTTTTCTGATGAGAGAGATTTTCAGGCTTCTCACACCACCAGGTACTCCACTTTTTCCGTCTCTGGAGACTGAATCCAAAAGAACTCCTATTGGCAGCACTGTGACTCCTAAAGCTCGCCCCACTGTGCTGAAATCTAGGGTAAGCTGATCGATTTCATTTTAAGCTTGTACATTACATGTAGTGTGCCCATGTTAATATATATTTCAACCATTGATTTCTCTGATGCATATCCTTGTATTACCATCGCATATGTAAATACAATAGTCTTCAATGGTGCATGTTGCATGGTCAATTATTCATGGTCATTCTCTCTTTGTTTTTGTTCGGTTGAGGGATCTCACCTCTATGGAAAATAATGGCAAAGAAAGATGTTTGGACCCGCTTCAAATAATTAATATATTGTTGGCTTAAAATTTTATGTCATGCTAGTAGAGAAATGGCACTCAGTCAAAACTAAAAATGTTTTTCTTAAGGGATCAACAAATTAAAAATCTAGGTGTCTATACTTGAGCAGTTCTATCAATGAGTAAGCTTTTTAGGGGTCAGAGATCAAAAGCAGTCCACTTTGTTGTCTAACTTTAAATAATTCATCTACAGCTTTGCTAGAGTGCCTTAATTTCACTTTAGTGAATATGTATTCATAATTCCTGCTTCTTGTCCAAGAAACTACTGGCTCCATTTGGAAATGTACTATTCTTCATGCTTCTCAATTTTGGATGTACCATGATTTTCAGATCACCCATCCAAATTCCATGCAGTCTAGTAGTGTATACTCAAGTTTTGTATGGATGTAAGGGGTTGCAAAATTTGTTTAGTTTGCAAGAATAATCTGTGGCATATCTAGTTCTTATGTGACTCTCTAACATATATAGTCTTCTTAACTAATATCTAAGCCTAATAACTTTTCTAACCATTTAAGATCAATCAGAATGCTTCTACAATGTAATTTAGTACTTGTCTTTTATGTTTAATAGTCTTTTAGAAAGTTATGCAACTCTTGGACAATCACCTGCCATCTATTTTGTTCTGCCTTCTGTATGATAAACAAATAAATATTAAAACTGGCTTTCATCTGATATTTATTTTTTCAAATTTCTCTACATATTTGACCAAATCAATTTCATCCACTTTTTTTACATCAATTGCCATGATCAGTAGTATGCTTAGTTATTGGCCATATGTCTCTATTTGCATTTACTGCTGAACTATGATTGTGAATAAAACTGTTTGATTCACTGCCAAGCAATTTGTTGTCTATTATTCACCTGTTATGTCCAACCATTTTGCCAGTGGAACTTTTATTCTTCCGCTACATTGAAGTATGTTTTTTGGTTATATTATATATATGTGTTTTATATGCATTTTTTGTACGATAAGCTCATTGATGCATTTCCTAAATTTGACAGTGTTCTTCTGCAATCTAATACTATATTTTCAGTTGGCAAATGCTTCAGACCCTTCAAGAAGCACACTGGTACCGAGGCAACCAGCATCATCATCTGGCTTGAATTCTGGTGTGGGAACTCGCAGACCATCATCGTCTGGTGGTCCTACTCATAGTTCGTCAAGACCTGCAACACCTACTGGGCGCTCTACAATACCTGCTGTTTCAAAACCTACCAGACCTTCTACTCCGCCTTCTCGAACTACAGTACCTGCAAAGTCATCGGCGCCTCTGCCACGATCATCAACACCTGTTAGATCTTCTACACCAACATCTAGGCCATCTGTACTGGCAGCCAGCAAGCCTTCATCAAGGTCAGCTACCCCTACAAGACGACCTTCTGCACCATCTACTGTACCTTCCAGTTCAGCTCCATCAAGTCGATCATCTTCTGTAACAAGGTCAGGTCCAACAATATCTAAAAGTTCGGCGCCATCACATGGGACCTCTCCAATCACAAAACCTAGACCACTGAAAGCCTCAGACATCCCTGGTTTTTCTCTTGATGCACCCTCAAACTTAAGGACATCATTGCCTGAGAGGCCCTCCTCAGCTACTCGGGGTAGACCTGGAGCACCCAGCAGTCGATCGTCATCTATTGAGCCTGGGCCAAGTATCAGACCAAGGAGGCAGTCTTGCTCTCCATCCAGAGGAAGGGCTCCAAATGGCAACGTCAAAGGCAGTTCAGTTCCACCGCCAAGCAGGCAACACTCAAATGGCGGTGACAAATTGAACCCAGTTGTCATCGGAAATAAGATGGTTGAACGCATAGTGAACATGAGGAGACTTGCACCTCCAAAGCAAGATGACCATCGATCAACCCATAACAACCTCTCTGGCAAGTCTTCTCTTTCACCAGATAGCACTGGCTTCGGGAGGACACTATCAAAAAAATCACTGGATATGGCATTGAGGCATATGGTATTGTATTTTATCTTTCATATCTTTCAATGTCCGCCTACCAGATCATACTTGTTATCCGAGATCGCTTTCCATTTCTTCTTATCAATGTTCAAATTCCTGAACTAAATGCAGGATATAAGACGTAGTGTTCCCAACAGCTTGCGGCCACTGATGGCAAATATTCCTGCATCATCTGCGTTTGGTGTGAGGTCAGGACCCACAAGAAGCAGGGCAATTAGTGTATCAGACTCTCCTCTTGCCACAAGCAGCACGGCCAGTTCGGAACAAAGTGTCAATAACAACATAATCTGTCTCGAAATTGAAGATGATCTTACCAGTGAAAAAGGAGGCAGGTGCCCCGCTGCCGTATCCAATGTGAGATGACTAAAAATTTACCTCCCAACTACATATGTGCAATCTAGGTGAATACATTGCCTCCCTTATGAAATCTTATTGGAGTAGCTGAGGAAGGCCTGTTTTGGGACAACCCGATAATATAATCTGCTTTCTATGTAGGATTGTATTTATGGCACAACCATATTACTCATATCAATCCTCTCTAAATGTGTCCCAAGTAATTGTTCAGCAATCTCTCTTGCAGTATTTGTGATATTTAGCTTGTTTTAAGCCTTGTGTTAGGCCTTTTGTTCTAATAGTCATACACTTCTTTGGCTGGTATTGCTGTTTGTCTGGAGAAGTTTGCTTCTTCCTACGTAAATATGGTTCCTCATTGCCTCTTCTCGATGCGTTGGAAATGTCGCGTGGAAACCAACTGCATCCTAACCTGGACCCACACTACAACCACATCGCCCGAGTCAAACGGCAGGTCAACGTCGAAGTCGCCGAACCCGCGGGCCGACATCTCACTTCTCCTGCGTCTTCCTTCTTCCATTGGTTGGCCTGCAATTCTACCCCAAGATTCACGTCACGGGGCCCCGCGTGCTCACGTGCTTTGTCCCCCAACCGCCGTGACGTGCGGCTGAGACGGTAAACGAGTCGATCGAGTCTAAACGTTTCCGCCGTCATCGAATCCTCCGCGAGTTCCAGAACGGCGGCTGGTCGGTTACCTCTAGTACTGTCGTGGATAACTATAACATGTATATCACATTAAGCTATTATCCCTCGTATACGAAGTAAATGAACTCCTCCATATCCAATATAATCTAAAAAGCTGGCACGTTACACCCACGCAGATCCCAGCTTTGTGATTGGAGGCAGATATTTGTTCGCTTTAGGCCATGCCAACCGCCTCCAATCACAGGACTGGTACATCAGCGGGTGGAATGGACGTTAAGGGGCACAGCACATCCTTGTTTGGATAAGCTTCCATCCGCCGTCATCGACTCGGTCTAACACTTATCCCACGCGTCTTCCATGGCCCCACCACCATCCTTCCATATCTAACGGAGAAACATCCTTCTGTCTATATATATCTCTGTTTCTTACCTCCTCGAAAGGAAAGAATCGACTGCAGCAGCGAAGATGGCAGCGTCCGAGATCTCCTCGAGGTCATCCCCGGCATCTGATTCGAAGTCCCACCCGGCGACGATCCCCGCACCTCCGCTCATCAACGATGCCTCCGCCACTGCCGCTTATGAGCACTACCTCCGCTTACCCGAGCTCGCCAAGCTCTGGAGCTCCGAGAACTTCTCACAGTGGAGCAACGAGTCCGTCATCAAGCCGTCCCTGCAGGCCCTGGAGATCACCTTCCGGTTCATCTCGCTTGTGCTCTCTGACTCCCGGCCCTACGCCAACCACCGGGAGTGGAAGCGGCGGCTGCAGTCCCTTGCCGCGCACCAGGTCGAGCTCATCGCCACGTTGTGCGAGGAGGATGGAGGCGGCGCACCCGTCGCCGATCTTCGATCATGCAAGGGGCTCCTGTCCCGGGACAGGAGCTCGCAGGAGGTGTGGAAGACCGCCGGCACGACGAGCGTGGTGAGCCGCACGAGCGAGGCGAGCCTGCTGCCGAGGCTCGCGACGTGGGAGAAGTCCGCTGACGTGGCGTCCGTCATCCTATTCCAGATCGAGAGCCAGATGCAGCGGTGCCCGTTTACGCTTGGGTTGGGCGAGCCCAACCTCGCAGGGAAGCCCACGCTCGAGTACGATCTCGTCGTCCGTCCGTTGGCCCTTCACGCCCTGAAGAGGAGCCCCGGCGGGTCAAACGAGCCCAGAAACCACGAAGACCAGGCGCTCTGCACGATCCATCAGATCCTCGAGTCGTGGCTCTTCGCCGCCCGCCTGCTCCTGGCCCGAATCGAGCGGAGGATACAGGGGAAGGAGTGGGCGCAGGCCGCAAGCGATTGCTGGCTTCTCGAGCGCGTGTGGAAGCTGCTCTCGGAGGCGGATGACCTCCACATGCTGATAGATCCCGACGACTTCCTCCAGCTCAAGAGCAAACTGGTCATCACCACCGATTCGGAGGCGTACTGCTTCCGCTCGGCGGCCCTGGTCCAGGTAACGAGCTCGTGCAAGGACCTGAAGCAAAGGGTGCCGTCGATCCTGGGGGTGGAGGCGGACCCCAACGGAGGGCCTCGGGTGCAGGACGCAGCCATGAGGCTGTTCCACGGCCGGCAGAGGGGGGATGGCGACAACCCCGGCAAGATCGACCTCCTGCAGGCGTTGCAGGCGGTGGAGGTGGCGCTGAGGAGATTCTTCTTCGCCTACCGGCAACTGGTGGCAGCGGTGATGGGGAGCCTAGAGGCGAGCGGCAACCGAGCCGTGTACGTGCCGTGGGAATCGCTGGATCCGGCGTCGCAGTTGTTCTTGGAGCCGCCCTATTTCCCGAGCTTGGACGCGGCCAAGACGTTCCTGGGAGATTTCTGGCAGCAGCAGCAGAAGCCAAAGCGGCGTTGACAAGCGGTCGGGTCCGTTGGACGAGCTTGGAATTTTGACCAAAATATGTGAGGCGACTCAATAGATAGATTCTATACGTTTTTGTGGAAATTGTACTTATACGTACCTTCTCCGTACATATCCATAGGTTAAGCAAGACCATAAACATGTAAAATCGTGAACCCACTCGAACCCAATCTCCTATCAATTTAATTTTGACTCATGAAGTCAACAATCGAACCAACTAATTAAGGCCGGCATGAGCACGGCGCGGTGCTTCCGCTTCCATCCTTGCGTATACGGCGTTACCACCTTCCCTTCCCCTCCTCACCATTCCCGGTATAGCTCTCCCCTTTCTCTGGCTCGGACTCTTGAGCGAGCCGGCCGGAAGGGAAGGGGATGTCGGACGCGCTCATCAACGGCCTGGCCGGCGCCGGCGGCGGGATCGTCGCTCAGCTCATCACTTACCCCTTGCTGACCGTACTCGTCCCTCTTCTCTTGATACGTTCCTCCTGACCTCCACCATGGATTTGCTCTCTCATGTGTGCTGGGTTCGCGGCAGGTGAACACACGCCAGCAGACCGAGCGCGATCCGTCCAGGTCCGCCGTGGGAGATGGGGCCGTGCGTCAGATGCTGGAGGTAGGTGTGTAGGCGGATCGCATGCCGTCGTTGTTCTGCGTTTTCTTTTTGGGGGCCTGAGTTGGTGGCGGTGATCGTGTCGATCGCAGGTGGTGAAGCAGGAGGGATGGGGACGGCTCTATGGCGGTCTCGCGCCGTCTCTCGTCGGCACGGCCGCTTCCCAGGTACCTTGGCCCCACCCCCCCCTTTGTTTCCTCCGCCCCCTCGCTCCTCTTTCTTCCTTCCTTGTTTGGTCGCGCCCAGCCCATCCGCCCCCGTCCTTGTCGACCACATTTGGTTGGATGTTTCTTTGGTAAAGCGGCTTCCTGCGTCCGGTACTCTAACCTGGCTGTGCCTAATTAGGTCAAATTGCATTTTTGGTAGGCATGATCCAGCTCTCAATTTGTTCATCTCTTGCTTGTTGACAGCGTGACTTGCAACCTTGAACGAAGTGATACTTGGAATGCAGGATGTTGCTAAATACCTTGTGTTAGATGAGAGAAATTTACAGAAATTGACCTGTAATAACATTAGCCACTAACCCATTACCAAGGGCAAGGTCTCAAGTTATGGTATTTGCTGAGATCGTGCCATGATATATGCTCTTGCCGAAAATTATTTTACAACAAAATATTTGGAATTCTTTGTTTACGTTGCTGTTCTTCATACCACGTCTCCAATGACATGAAGCAAGATCTTCTTACTACCTGTAACTTACTAAGATCAGTCTTGTACACTAGGCTCGCATGGCATGAAGAAGCAACCATTAGATCTCTTTGGAAATATGAATCAACATGTTAATGAAAGAAAATGTGATTCTCGATAGTGTGTGTCTGGTAGAGATGGAGCCTCGGTAGATGCTGCTCTAATTGAAGTCTGATATTTTTACAATTTAAAAGCTTTAGAACACCCTGGAGATCCTTGTGATATGCAATTTGAACTGCTTTATATCACCTTGAAGATGATTGTGTCACGGGACCTGATGAGAAATTTCGTTTTGATCTTTGATCCAGATGGTGATTTGCCTGGATCACACACAAGCTACAAAATTTTAAACTGTCATCCAAAAAATGCCATTACTGGACGAAGTGGATCAATAGTTGCAAGCTGTGACAGCATATCTTTAACACAATATAATAGTCTCTTGTTCTCCTTATTTTCTTCAGCATTGTCTTTTTACCCTGCAATTTATATAATTGAATGCCATTCATTGTTTTTTGAATTTGAGCATTGGTTATTTGCAAAAAAAATGCCAATTTCCCTTTATGTCTAAAATGTTGGCTAATAGACAATTTTCTTGTATCAATGGATTGCTGTAGAGGCATTGCTTGAGTTAATCCCTTTGTATTTGGTAGCAGAACTTTTAAAGAACCTTGTCTCTGTAGAATTATTCCAATTTAAGTGGTCACTTTGACTGTATTTGACTTTGACTTGAACCAGTTATAATATGTTGTCTGATAAATCAGAAAAGATTTTCTGAAAGGGCCATCCTCATTCTACTTTATACCTTCACAAGAATGATTTTGGATGATTATGAAGCCAACTGAGAACAACAAGACTTTGTCTAAGCAATGAGGCAACAGTATGCTCTCAGGATTGTTCCCTTTGTCTTATTCATCCTGCTGCTAGATTATCATTTCATTATTTACTTCAACGCATTTAACTCTATTGGACTCTTTGCCACACGAGGCATCTGTATCAAAATTTGTATTTCTTGTACAGGGTGTTTATTACTATTTCTATCAAATATTTAGGGACAGAGCAGAAAGATCAGCTCAAGATCGCTGGAGAAAAGGCATTGGTGATGGATCTGTAGGCATGTTTCAGTCACTTGTTGTTGCTGCACTTGCAGGGTGATTAACTATGACACTTTTTTCTTATTTATAACTTTCGATCTAATACCTGGGTGGGATATTCTTATGCTGTGCCCCACCAAATGTTCCTTAATATATTTTGGCTATATTGCTGTAGTTCCAAAGGTATGAAGTTCTTGTGCTTCCATGTACCTGTGTATTTTCTAATGAAATTAATACCAGATGGGCAAAAAAAAAAGAAATGAGAAGAGTTAGTTCTTATGAGTGGCCAAATAAAGGGCCCTTCTAAAATTGGTGCTAGCCTTCAACATAATTGATTATTTAGAGGTACAACTGGCTGTTTATTAATTGCCTGCCATTATCATGGTTGCAGATGTGTAAATGTTCTATTGACAAATCCTATATGGGTAGTAGTTACACGTATGCAGGTACAGACATTGGTTTTTGCTGGTTTGTTCATTGTAGTGTCTGCTTTTCCAGTACTTATATGTATTTATACATATGTATGTATATATGTATATATATGTATGTATATATATGTATGTATATATATGTATATATATATATGTATATATGTATATATATGTATATATGTGTATATATATATATATATATGTATATATGATGTATATATGTATGTATGTATCTTATGCATATATATGTATGTATATATGTATAAATATATATATGTATATACATATATATATATATATGATGTATATATGTATGTATGTATCTTATGTATATATATGTATGTATATATGTATATATGTATGTATATATGTATAAATATATATATGTATATACATATATATATATATACATACATACATATATATATATACATACATACATATATATATATACATACATACATATATATATATATATATATATACATATATATATATATATCGCAGCCCAGGTCACCTCAATAGTGTGAAATAGTTACCGAGAATTGCTTCCTCTACTTGTTGACCTGATTTTAGGTGCTAATATCTGACATTCTGCAGACTCACAAGAAGACGAGCAATGGACCACCTATTCATGCTCTATCATGTCTTCGGGAGGAGGCAGTTAATCTTGCAGTGGTTGAGCATCAGCCATGCAGAACCAGCCATGTGGTAGATGCACTCGTGAATATATGTTGGTTGTCCATATATATGAGCTTTTTACTCCTTTCCAATCCATATTAGGACATACTACCGAATATTACTGTCTTGTGCAATTATGAAAAAACTAATTGTAGTAGTATCAGATGCTTTCCCCATGAACGAATGGGTTGGTTTCTGAAAGTTGTAACTTGTAATTACATTCTGCATTGTGTAGAATGGATGACAAATCTTTTCACTTAAGGTCTTTAATACTAGAACAGCATATGTGCTTTGCATGTGAAGAATAGTAGAAAGTAGGAAAAGGCAGATAAACCATCTATGCTACAGCCTGCATAGGCTTCAGCAAGGACCAGTCATGTTATATATGAAGGTCCTTCTTGAAAAGCACTAGCTCTAGGAGTATCATGGCACTCATTTCTGACTTGAATTTATGAGATGAGCCACAAATACCATGACAATGATCTTGTGAAAGTTGGATACAAATAAGTGTAATTTATTGGAAAGAGCTCCAATTGTGCTGAAGAACCCAAATTTATAGATCAGATCTAACATCTAAGACCACAATATGATTCAAGATTCAATAACATTGGCAAACCCTTAGACACCTGCTATTATGACATTAGCCATCATAAAACTGAGTGGTTGTACTTAAAATGTTAGACTGATGCACCTTGAAGTCCAGGGTTCAATGGAACAAACTGACTCCTGGATGATCTGCTGAGGATGGTTCTACGTTCTATGATATGCACTATGGGTAATGATGTTGGTTCTGATATATGAAACTCGTCAAATTGACATCTTCATAAACTGTACTCAAGACCATTATCAAATAATAATACAGCTGTCTTTTTTAGTGATAGATGATAACAACTTTCTTTAGGAAGTACACTTTATAACATACTGAGAATATTTCTTTAAGGTACAAAAATTGTTCTAGAGAAAGGAAAATTTCTCCTAATTGGAAGTATTTGCATAACTAGCTTATAAGACTACTGGCTGCTCTGAGTAATTATTCTTTTCTTGCTTTGGAGGTTTGAAGTGCTATATATATATATATATATATAGAGAGAGAGAGAGAGAGAGAGAGAGAGAGAGTA